AGGATATCCCAGGGCAGTAGAACAGCAATTCCTGTCAGCTCCCAGCAAAGATTATTGGGGTTTGCACTGGGGAAATATTGACACTCCAGCTTCTTCTTCTCTTTTTAGAACTTTGAGCTTGCAGTCAGGTAGAAGGGCTGGTGGGGGAGTGGGAAGAGACCCACTGAGGGGCACATCTCATCCCTCAGGTAGATGGAGCTAAACCCCTAATCTTACTTAGGAAGAGCTGCTGATGCTCAGTTTTCTTCTTTCCCTTCTGCTTTAGTGGGATATTACATTTCACTGCAGTATTTGGGATAGAATGGTATGTCAGCTGGAATGGTTTGGTTTTCACAGAAAGCATAAATGCATTTTAAGGAAGGTATTTTTGCATAGGTGAGGCCTCCAAAACAAACCAAAAAACCCCAAAGGTAATATAAGTACAGACTAAAGTGAACTTTGGGGGTTTTTTTAAATTCTTGGGTAGAAAAGCCATCCCATTAGGGACAGCAATTTATTAAATTGCTGGAGAAAACCCCAACCAACCAACAAACACAGAAATCTGACTTTGTTCTCTTTCAGATTTGTTTTTGATCATAAGAATCCTTCTAGTGAAAAGGGCTAATTTACTCTTTCTAGAGGAATATTTTAAGTGTGATTATCACAATATCACAGCTGCTGAAAAGGTCTAAATTAGGACATTGACCTTGAACGTGTTCCTGCGTTTAGGATGTGGTGCTTAACATTAAAGAAACAATAGAACTGCAACTCATTTATTAATGTATCATCTCAAATGTTCACTCTTGCTCTGTAAAGACATGCCACAAGGATTGTAGAAAGCTTGCAGTATCCCATGAAGTACATGTGGTATTTTATCAGTGTAAATATGGATAAGATCTTCAAGATTTCTGCTGGCAATACTCCATAACTAAAGTAAATTTTCCCTTAGGTGCTGCACTAGTTTATGATTTAATTCTTACTGACATTCCACCAGTCATATTATTAGCTTCACCAAATGAAAGGGAAATAATCATGTATTAATTAAAGAGAGCAACTGAATTCCCTCAGTCACCTTATCCTTGGCTGTCTGAGACAGTGATGCACTTCAGCTTCCCTACAGAAACTTCCACGAAAAAAACAGCTTGGGGTGATAGTGAGAGATCCAGATTGAAGGGTGTGCCTGAATTATCTTTAGGGAGGAGACCTTTTTGGTGGGTGACAGGCAACGTGCATGTGGTTCCCTTTTTCTTTCTGGGTTTTTTCCCTTTCTTTTTGTCAGGGGCTTTGGAAAAGGTGTTTTGTCAAGAGAATAATATTCATTTAGAGCCATGTGAACAGTTTCTATGCTGTACCAGTGAAGGCAGTCATCTAAATACCCATACCCATGCCCTTGAAAACAAAACAAGGAGAAAAAATGGAGTATTTGTTTGAGACGAGATACATTGAATATAGTTCAGTAACATGGAAAGGCAATTGCTGTTATTTCACAGAAACATTTCTTTGTATGCTGGAACTGAGGGTAGCAGCAAAAGCTAAAAGCCTTGCTCTGTGTCTTTGTGAACACACTGTGGGTAAGTTCAAAGGAACATTCAGAGGTTGTGTTGTGTGATCTTTTTTTCCCTCAGACCAAAACAAGGAGTAATTAATGCTAAATACAGCAGATGGCTTTCAAGTAATAACTTGGTCCAGTTTGCCCAACTGTGTCCAAACAGGTGAGGAAAATCTGGAACTTTAGAAGGGTTGGTTTTTTACCTCATTAGCAGGATATCCAGGGGTGCACCAAGTGCCTTCCAGTGAGGAGCACAGGAGATCAATAGACAGTGACAATATTGTTCTAATGTATGGACTTGATATCTTTTTCACCCCATGTGGAGAGTTTTCAGACAAAACAGAACCATTCGTTATTGGGGGAAGGGGAAAAGATTTACAAAGGTTTATTTACACCCACATATATATTTACATTAAATAAATTTCTCCTCTTCTTCAATAAAAGTCCAAGAAGAAAAGAGTCTTTTTATCACTTCTCAGGCCACAGTTCCTTCCTTTCAGTTTTTTGTGGCACTGGTTAGTGTCCTCCATTTTTCCCAAGAACAACAAATTTAAATATAGCAGTTAGGATTTTTGTTCTTACTTTGTGGAAATTTCAACCCTGAGCCCGAGCCTTCGGGGAATTTCCTTGTAGATCTTCACTCCTCTTGGGTTAGAACATTGAAGGCAGCTTTCAGTTCAGTCTTACCAAAGCTCTTTTGCTCTGTCTCAGCTCAGTAGCAGAATAGAAACAGCAACAGCAGCAGCAGAGGGTACGGTCACCTCCTCCGCATTCCGTCCTGGCTCAGCTCTCAGGACAACTCCGGGTTTCAGCTCCTTTCTCCCTCTCTCTAGCTGCTGCTGCATTTCAGGACTCCCTAAGGGTTTGGAAGTCCACCCCTCCTCTTCAAGGAGTCTCTGGGGTTTGGGAAAATAATCCAGTCTTACCCCAAAACAGCTCTGTTGAGTTTTCCTCTGTTTTGTTGCCAGCTCTCCCTCCTGCAGGAACATCTCTGCGTCTCTCAGCCGGCTTCACGTTATCTTGTTGCTCCTGGCTACCTTTTGGCTTTCAACCACTGTTGTCTCTGTTCAGGACTGCTCCACTGCCGCTTTCAGTGTCTTCTGCTGCTGCTGACAGTAAGGAAACTTTTCCAGCTCTTGATTACAGGACCCGGTCCAGCACTGACACTATACCGGGTCTCCCGTGACCTCAGCTGGGGGCTGGGGGCCCTTGGCCCACAGAGGGGCTCACTGGCCCCCTGCTTCCTCGTGGCTCAGATCATGGCTACCCTCCTTCTACACTCCCTTCACTACCTTCTCTTCCGTTTCTGTGGGTGTGTAATTTCCGTAGGGCGCACGTGGACTATTGATTGGTCCAGTATTATCAGTGGGGCAAACCATGACTACCTCAGAGAAAAGGTTTTTCAAACCACCACAATATGGAAGGGATACATTTTGTAAAGTATCTGGACTTTTAGAAAGCCTTTTTTTTTTTTTTTTTGCAGATACAGGTAGACTGTCTTCAAATAATGTCATGTTTATGTGCTACTTCTGTATAAATTTGAGTTTACCCAGGCTATTTGTGAAGTGGCTTGTTATTTTGATAATCTGTGTATATAGATACATGTGCCTTTTATTTGTGGAAAAGGGCAGTATTTTCATATAAATCCATTTCATTCGATGTCCCATTTCACCAGGGAGAACCTGCATTAAACTTTGATTGTATTTTGTACTTACTGAGTTTGTAGCATTAACGGTTGGGAATATTGTAGAACTCACATTTGACAACAGGAACAGCAGTAACAGGAGACTTCAGGTATTTGTCGAGGAGATTTTTGGGGCCTGTTTCTTGGTTTTGGGAACACAAAGGTTGATGCTTGGCAAGGATAGAATATTGTTATTGTAGTGTAGGTCACATTTTTATGAATTGATGGATGTCCTGCAGCAAACAGGGTTGATGTGCAAATGTGTGTGTTAGTGTGTTCTGGAACTTGGCTGTGTAACTGTCTGATGGGATCTGTGAGAACTAAGAGTTGGTGTTTAGAAATGATCTCATACCTGAAGAACAACGGAGCATATCTGAAATCCCATGGGAATTTTCAGTGTAGAGAGTCAAACCCACAGATATTGCACAGTCTGTTCCAATGAAGGCAAGACCAGTCTGAGGATAATGAGGGGACTGAGCCTGTGAGACCCAAGACTTGTGTTCCTGATGTTAAATCCTGAAATGTCTAAAGCTGCAACTTTTAACTGACCTGCTCTTCAAAAAATAGCAAAATTAAACATTAAAATTAAACCTCGCAGTGTCAGGAGCAGATCTTGGCTGACCTGCATGTTCCATGCTAAATACAAATTTGAGCACTTCAGTCATAATAGTCTGCACCTTTCCTGGATTGCCCTGATGCTGTTTGTGCTGAACAGGTATTACAATAAAGGCACTTTTACCTGTCCCTTGTTTACTTTTCTGAGCTCTTTGGAGCTATCTTTTCTTGTAAGAGCAGTATATGGTTATCTATGTTTGTCTGGTGGTAATTTCTCAAGGGATTTGTGTACAGGACGGGGCCTGAATTTCTTGGGTGGTTTGCACAGGTTCTTTGATAACACATTCCCTGGTGATACTTGAAAGTTTGTTATAAAATGTCTTTTGGAGCATATGCTGTCATCTGTAATGCTTGTTTGTTTTTTTTCATTCAGGGATGGGACTTGTGTAATACTCACAGTCTAATGCTTGGTCCTTAGGATTTCTTTATTATTTTTAATTTTAATTTATTAGGATTTCTTTTTCCTTTTTAATTTTAATTCAAGTGTTTTAATATCCCATTTTCCCTACAGATGTGTGGAGGAATTGATTTGCTCACTGTAAGCAAAATAGCTGCTCTTGGTCGAAGGACTGGTAAGTTGTTCTTCCTTAATAACATTTACTTTCTAGCTTTTTAAAAAAAGACCTTCACAAAGGTCTGGCTTTGCACAAAATGATCTGTAATGCCAGTACAGTTTTTTATTTGTTTGGTTTAGTTTTCTTTTTTAAATTATTCTGCAATCTGATAGACTTCAGAACATTCCTCATATAGTCAAAAAACCACAACATTGGCAGGATTAAGTAGAAAAATTAAAATTAATAATTAAAAAATTATTCATCTCTACTGGATGAATATGGGGACAGAATCTTTTCCAGTTTTCTTTAACTAAAAGGAATTTGGTCTTGACCTTTTGTTGTCCCTGCCACATTTTGTGACTTTGGACCAGTTTTATCACCGAGTTCAGTCCCGAAGCAAAAATGTGGAATTCATTAATTGGAGGAATTCAGTTTTTAATGTGTGTCCATGAGCTTAGTTTTGAGGCTTTTTGGCAAGTATTTGATCTCTTCTACTCCTGGGCTCTGTGAGTTTTATTACTTTGTTCCTTCAGAAGTCTTAAGCTGTTTTTTTTTCCCACTGCAGGCCTGTGTAGAACAGCAGATTTCTTGCCATGTTTCTCCTTCCAACTCTTCCTCAAAACTCTTCCTGTGCCATCCACTGACGCCTTTCTAGCCCCCAATCATCTGCTCGAATCTCTAAAACACGTGACTCATGTTCCATTTTATATTCATCTTCACATGACTCCCGAATCTTTCTGTGTGCATTTTTGTTTGTTTTCTCACTGGGTTGTAAATGAGCTGTTGTCATATCTGGTTTCTTGGGTAGGACTTTGGTCTTTCAGTTACACACTGAGTAATTCTTCCCTCCTTTTCTGGTTTATAATCCTTACCTGAAGGAAGGGGGTGAATGTGAAAGCCTTAATTTACTTAATGCAACAGTTTGTCTACAAAAGAAGTTGCTTCAAACACCAATTGCAAAAGCATCCAAATGTGTGGATCTTGAAAGACCTAATATTGCCCTCCCTGGTTAGGGTAGATAATGTTTTGTTGAAGCACCAATTTTTATTTTCAATTTTTTTAAGAGAACAGGGAAAATACTTGAAAACACCAGGAGCTTTACTGAAGTTGACATACTTTGCTTAATGCAATAAAGTTTATTATTTCAAAATAACACCCAAAAAAGAGTGCATCTCTGAATAAAGTCACATCTTACCGGGAATTCCTCTCTAAATCTGAGAAACCTGGCAAACAGCCTCAGCTAAAAATACCCAAACCTACATGAGTTGTGCTTTGACTGCTGTGCTTACAGAACATCTGATGGTGGTAAAAGCAGATTTAGGGCTGTCCAGGGCACTCATGTTCTGTGCAGTCTCTGAC